GGGGGGGGGGGGGCCTCCCCTCTGTCCCAGGACGCGCGCTGCCTCCAGAGGCCCCAGGGCACTGGCACCTCCCTGTGCCTTGAGGAGGGGCCGTACCATCAGCCTGGCCTCTCTCAGCCCAGGTGACTGCCCTGCGACCCTCACCATGCTCGCTGCAGCCCCATCCCGGTTCGCCATGTGCTTGATTTCCTTCCATTTTTGTTTTTCTTGTTATCTTCTGCTCCTTTTGTCGTGCTCCCATAAATACGTTGTAGTCTTGGCTTCAGGAGCAGAACCCAGTGCCCATCCCCCATCTAGCCCGCTCCCCCTCCATAAACCCTCAGTTTGTTCTCTGTATTTAAGACTCTCTCAGGGTTTGCCTCCCTCCCTGTTTTTATCTTATTTTTCCTTCCCGTCCCCCCATGTTCATCTGTTGTGCTTCTCAAATTCCACCTGTGAGTGAAGTCATCTGATAGTTGTCTTTCTCTGCCGGACTTATTCCGTTTAGCATAATACCCTCCAGTCCCATCCACATTGTTGCAAATGGCAAGATTTCATTCCTTTTCATCGCTCAGTAGTATTCCACTGTGTATATACACCACATCTTCTTAATCTATTCGTCATCCGCTCATTTGGGCTCCTTCCATAATTTGACACAGTGACCAGGGACCTGTTAGGGTGAGACGCTATAAACAGTGGGGTGCTGGGGCGCCTGGGTGGCGCAGTCGGTTAAGCGTCCGACTTCAGCCAGGTCACGATCTCGCGGTCCGTGAGTTCGAGCCCCGCGTCGGGCTCTGGGCTGATGGCTCAGAGCCTGGAGCCTGTTTCCGATTCTGTGTCTCCCTCTCTCTGCCCCTCCCCCGTTCATGCTCTGTCTCTCTCTGTCCCAAAAATAAATAAACGTTGAAAAAAAATAAAAAAAAAAATAAACAGTGGGGTGCAGCGCCCGTGTGAATCGGCATTTTGGTGTTCTTTGGATAAATACCTAGAGTGCAATTGCTGCATCGTAGGGTGGTTCTATGTTTCATGTTTTGAGGGACCTCCACACTGTTTTCCAGAGCGGCTGCACCAGTTTGCATTCCCACCAAAAGTGCAAGAGGCTCCTTTTAAACAAATTTTTTAATGTTTATTTATTTTGAGAGAGAGAGAGAGAGCAGGGGAGGGGCAGAGAGAGAGGGAGGAAGAGAATCCTAAGCAGGGTCCACAATGTCAGTGCAGATCCCGACGTGGGACTTGAACTCACAACCGTGAGATGACCTGAGCCAAAATTAAGAGTCAGATGCTTAATCGACTGAGCCACCCAGGCGCCCCTCTGCTCCTTGTTTATAAGGAAGCGTCAGGCCCCTCTGTATGTTAGTGGATAAGCGAGGCAAGACTACCGCCACAAACAACCTCAGAAACTCAGGTGCTCAGCACAACACAAGTTATTCTTGCTTATGTTTCATGGATCAAATGGTAGGGGGCTCTGTTCCGGCCATGTCTCAGGGGCATCACCATCTTGTAACTATGACATCAGGAACATGTGGCCTTCACGGTCTCTGGGACAGAGGAACAGACGTGTGGAAAGTCACATGCGAGCTTCTCTAAGCAATGGCATGGAAATGACTTTCCACACCCACGCGGCTGGTCACAGGGAGTCCCGTGGCCCCATCAGGTTTCCAGAGGGCTGGGTGAGCACCATCGCGGGGCAGGTCAACACGTCATTGACCCGCGTGGGTCACAGTGCGAACCCGTGCCGTGACTTCTGGCTCCACCCTGTGGCTGCTGGAAATGAGCCCGGGAGAGAAAACGGTGAGAAGGTAGATGGCACTTTTGCTCCGAGGTCTCTCACCTAGCACGCTGGGACTTTGTCCAGGGCCATCCCTGAGCTCGGCTTTGCTCCACGTAGGGATGCTTTGCCAGGAGGTCCAAGAGGATGGCGTTTCAGAGGCGCGTGTGGTTCAGCTTCCACTGTCTTTGCCGGAATTCTCCGTCCCTCACACGGAGCCTGGCGCAGATATTGCAAAAGCAATTTCTGTTCAGCTTTGGGATGAGCAGGCTTCACTGATACCAAGTTGGGAAATCCATCAATTAGGATTCTTTGGGTTACATGTGACCAAATGCTACCCAGTTGGCTTAAGCACAGCGAGAATCTGCCAGCCCATGTGACTCAGAATCCAGGATCCGTCCTGGCCTCGGGTCTGCCCGATCAGACCCAACTCTGTCTCCGGGACTCCGTTTCTCTGCCTCTTGGCTTCCCTGAGTCTACGCATGGTGGCAGCGTGGCAGTCAATACTCTCGCCAAATGGTTCAAGCCTCCAGCCCAGGAAGATCAGCCAGCTCATTTCCAGAAAGCGCGACCAAGGTCTCGTTGCCAGGACTGCTCCTGTGGGGTCCTGCTGTCTGCCCGAGGCGGTCGCCGTGGCAGGGACGCTACATGCCCAGAGTGTGCGTGGCCTGGAACAGATGCCGTGGACGTCCCCTCCCGCCCTCGCCCCACCCACCTCGTCACGCACTGGCACGTTATCACCTGAGAGTTCTGTCTCGCCTGCAAAGCCGTCCTTCCCGCCTGCGCGGCAGGACAGACGCACCGAGGAGTTTGCATGTCCCCATCCAAGGAGCCCTCTCCCCCGCGACAAACGGGGGTTGGCACGGACTTATTCCAGCGCCCTGGGCCCTCCCGTGGGTCAACGCAGCTCGACACGGGGCCTTCCCCCACCCGGCGGTCCTGGCCAGACACCTCCTGCTGTGGTCCCGAGTGCCCTGCTCTGTCTCACTTCCCCACCCCCTGACTGAGGTTGTCTGCCCCTCCCAATAAACCCCTTGCAATGGAATCCTTCTGGGAAAACCCAAACCAAGATGCGGGTCGACCGCACAAACCACATGAGTTTGAGAGCAGAGTGGTTTCCGGATCGTTTCACTAGAAAACACGAGAATTGACACCGGGCAGCAAACAGCACACGCGGCCCCTCCTAATATCTGACGGGCGAGGAGGCTGAGGTGCCTTTCGCAAGCAGTGAAGCCACTCTGTGCACAGGGAACCCACAGACTACAACCCCAGGGCCAAACCCAGCCTGTGCTCGCTTCTCTAAGTACAGATTGTTGGGGACGCAGCCACACCCGTCCATCCCTGACCCCTTCCGCTGGTCACAGGAAGAAGTGAGTAGCTGGGGCAGGTGCTGAGTGGTCCACCATGCCTGTACCGCCAGCCCTTTCTGGAAAAAAAGCATCCGACCTCTGCTGAAGGAGACCCGAGAGGGTGATTTCTAAATGCTGGCTGAACGGGTGAACCACCCAGGAGGTTTAGAAATTGGTGCAGTTGGGGCGCCACCCTGACAAATTGAGTGCGGATCACTGGAGGTGGGACCAAGCACCACCGGATGATTCCGTGGTGCAGCCACGGTTGGAGACGAGTCTCTCTCGGACTTCAAACGCCATTACTCTCACATTACTGTTACCAGGGCGCGTCGGTAAGAGCTGGTAAGCAAACGCGCTGAATCCCACGATGGACTCCAGGAAACAGATCAGAGCTCTTTGGGTTACACACCCTCCCTACCCCACCCAACCCAACCCAAGCAAGGCTCACGGAAGGTAAACGTCTAGGAAAGCGTTCTCACTCGTGTGCGCTCAGATCACCTGGAGACTCTTCGTGGAGGCAGATTCTCATTCAGGAGGTCTGAGTTGGGTACTTTTATAAAGTCCTGAGTCGTGCCAGTGCTGCCGGTCTGGCGGACCAGACGTTGAGTGCTGACGATCAAGTTGAGCGAAATTTGTCATCGGGGAAGGTGGTTTCCCTTCTGCTTTCCTCTTGTGTCCCTCCTGGTTAGAGTCACTTGCAGGAGGCTGTGCTGGGCGGTGCCACGCTGGCATTTTCATGGCATCGGGTCCAGCAGGAGGAGAGCAAAAGACGCCTCGGTGCCAACACTCAAGCAAATCTCCCAGCACTGGCTCTGATTAGAACGGATTGGCTCGGCTCGGGTCGCGCGACCAACCTGAAGCCAGTCACTGGAGCCAAAGGGCGTGATGCTCTGATTGGAGGGGTCTGGGGGACTTGTCTTCCCGGGACTTGTCTGTGTGGAGTCAGACTGAGAGCGGGTGGGCATGGTGCATGATGGGAAACTCTGGCTGCCCCTGGGAAAGGGGGAGCAGACAGACACAAAGAGCAGATCCTCACCACAGAAGGTATCATCTACCCCCAGGACCCGTTATTACGTTGAGGTCGGAGAATGATTGCTCCTGACTTCGCGTGTCCAAGAATAGGCATCAACAATGTATAGCCCGTGGGCCAGAGTCAATCCGCTGCCTGTTTCTTGTATACCGTGCAAGCTGGGAATCGTTTGTGTGTTTCCAAATAGCCACATTTTAAATAGTTATGTAAGAAGCGTTTTAGTACGCTCCGTTTTGCCTCTCGGCCAGCAAACCCTGAAATACTTTCCATCTGGCCCCTCAGGGAGAAAGTTTGCAGGCTTACGACACAGAGCATCACCACCAGTTCTAGGGTGTAAGAGCCTGGCTCCTGTCCTACCTAGTTTAAACAGAGAAGGCATTCAGGGGCGCCTGGGTGGCTCAGTGGGTTAAGCCTCCGACTCTTGATCTCAGCTCAGGTCATGACTTCATGGTTTGTGAGATCGAGCCCCACATCAGCTTCTGTGCTTGGGATTCTCTCGCTCCCTCTGCCTCTGCCCCTTCCCTGCCTTGTGCCCTCTCTCTCTCTCTCTCTCTCTCTCTCTCTCTCTCAAAATAAATCCACTTAAAACCATTTACAAGAAACAGAGAAGGCATCCAGATATGGTGAAAAGCAAAATCACGATAAGGATAGGAGATATTATTTCGTCCCACTTTCCAAGGGACAGGAAAGCGCTCCTTGGAGCGTGATGTGATTATTGGGGTTGTCGCGTTTTGGAAGATGGCATGACTACTGATGTCATGCCCAGAATCCGTTTGTTGGCGAGTAACTGTGAGTGAATTCCAACTGGCTTCACCCAAACGATCTCTG